CGCATGCCTTAGAAGGGGGAGGCGGAGTTGGTAGTCCCAGCATACCAAAGTAGTGATCGACGCGCGTGCCGAAGCAATGATGCTTGCAGCTTGTCCGACCGCATCAAGGGATCGGCCCCAAGAGCCTTTCTGATATCGGGGAATTTTTTTGTTTAATCTGATAATAACATAAAAATAGTCCTGGCATTTTATGGCATGCTCAAAGAGTGAAATGCAAGCAATGGCTGCAATGGCTGCAATGTGTCCCTGCTGTTCCGGCCTAACATAAAGGGCTAGAACAATGGATCCATCACATCTCCTGTAGGCCGGGGGGAGGTCTATCACTTGGAACCAGTCCAGATCTCTGGGGGGAACATGCAATGTAATAATAACAAAACAAATCTGCATGTGCGCAAATGATAACCCGTTGTTGTGGTGGAACCGCAATGATGACAATACATCCGACACCCTCTCTTTCTTCTCTCAGAGCTGGAAATAGAAAGAACCGACCGTTGTAAATAGCATTGTATATTCTATTCCATACAATATTCATATGCACATTCAAATATTGATATGTAGTCATGCTGACAGGTGGCAGGGGTACGAACCACGTTTGCGGCAACCCGGAAACAGATCTTCAATATAAGAGCAACATACATATGTACTATGTTGTTCCCCCTTAGCCACAACCGGTCTTGGCTTTAAATGAATCATTTTAAAGCGTTAGGGGAAAGCCACAGATGTCATGACTGCGCCTCAGCCTGGAATATCGTAATTGGGCCTGAAATTAGACTGGGTATATATGAGTACCATTATATTAAATAACATGTTTTACCATAGATTGATCAACATCGAATGCAAGTCTCGTCTCACAGAAACCAAGTTAATCTCACGGGGGGCCCCGAGTGGCCCCTAGATACCTTCGATAAACCCTAGAGCCATGTGCAGCTATGGTCGAATTCTCTCGGAAGCTCACGGATGTAAAATAAAAAGGAGAGAAAAGCGTGATTAGAATTTTGAACCGTACAGAAAACACTCTGTACTAAATGGGTCCCTCGATCATATCAGTGCAGGGCCATTGGCCTATCATAATTTCTGATCGACCCCGTCTCACGCTATTTCCTGTTGTGTCTAGTTGATTGGGTTAGCGGGGTGTTGAGATAAACAGAGCTATGTATTCTGTACAGTAATGTGTATATTGTACTCCGTACAGAGTAACTAACTAGCTACTTTGCATGTACTCTGTACTTTGTACGTTGTAGCTGCTTGGTTACGAATATGAAGCATCTTCAAATCACGCGGCGAATGCCGCAGACTCTGCACACCTTTGTATGAGACAGAGCCACTCACAGCAGCAGCCGACGCTAAAGCGAGACGGCCCCCTGGACATTTAACTGAAAATCCGAGACAGGGTTTGGACGGTGTCTCTGCCTTGTTTTCATGATGCGCTATGCGGTGCCTTTCCATCTTCTAGTGCTTTGGGCTAAGCCACTTTTTGTGCTTTGACTTTGATTTTCGTCTCAAAAACAGGGTAATTCATTAGGTACCTGTATTTTATATTTTAGTCTTCTTTTATTTTATGTGCTTTGTTTATGCTTTATACTTTCTACATATGTACCTAGGTGGTTTTGACGTTTTGTGCGGTCAACGGTCGTACATATATATGTTTCTAAGGCTATGTTCACTTCCAAAGTTTAACTCGGAAAGGTATACAAGGCGCTCAGTACTTCGGAGTAGAAAATCTTGATTCTTGACAATTATACCCGGATCATCCATCATTCGTATCCTGCTACGTATGTACTAGCCCCCAGGAATATCCCAATTTCCTTGCCGTGTGTAGAGCTTGACAGTTGTCATGATTTCTCCGCAGCATGCAGGGGAAACCGTAAATTTATGATCAGCTAATACTTATGCTGAACTTGTTGCTAATCAAACAGCATTACATACCCCGACTAGCTGTATTGAAAAAACATATCCCAAAAAACATATCCCAAACATTAAGCACACATATCTTCCCCAAATTCACATCGTGCTTCGAATTAGTCAAAATCACATCGAATACAAGGATCGGGTAAAGGATGGTCAAAGTTGCTAACAAAGGCTCTGCAAGTCAGATTGGAACTGCGACCACCGACTACATACATTCAGCCTGTAGATACATTGCATGGTGAGGGTTTACTCTTGGGCTCCTAGAGCTCCAGGTGGACCGGCTCCGACAGTTATGGGCAAATCACGGGGAACACAGATGATCGGAGATTGAAATCTGGTGTCTATATCCACTCTGACTGGATCGGATACTTGGCAGGGTCTTCGGGTCGTCTGGTTGAAACCACGACCGCAGGGCGGTGCATATTTCTATCTGATTGTCTTCGGCTTTGACTTGTCTTGCAGACGTCGATAACTATGACATCGCAACTCCACATTGAGATCCCAAGGTTCCCGTCAGGATACGGTCAGGATACGGCTAAACAGTCGTGCAGGGCTAACCCATTCTTGCTTCCATTGCTGTTTTCGAATACATGCTGTTTTCGAATACATGGAAGGGTTGTGCCTCACTTCAAAACCACTGTAGGGTAGAGGCAGCGCCCAACGGCGGAGAAAAACATATCAAAACCCGAGCTAGTGCGCCATAACAATTGGAAAGAGGAAAATAAATTTCAAATCAACAAAGTTTTCACCTAGACATGTCTAAGCCATGTAGGTGGTGGAGTCAACACCAGCCTCGGGGTACTCGCTGTGAACATGGTTAGTCTTTTGCCAGAGGGTATTATAATTTGGAATCAAAGGAAACTTACGGAAGGGCAACCTCAAAGCGCTTCTCAATTTCCTTAAGGACCTTCTCGTCATCCTCGTTGCTGACGAAGGAGATAGAAAGACCCTTGGTACCGAAACGACCGGCACGACCGACACGGTGCAGGTAAGAGTCAGCGTCGGCGGGGAGATCGTAGTTGATGGCAAGGTTAATGCGCTCGATATCAATACCACGGCCGAAGACATCAGTGGCAACACAGATACGCTTGTTGAACTCCTTGAACTCCTTGTAGCGCTTGATACTAGATGGGGGTCAGCAAATTGCGGCGGCCAATACCAAACTCAGATGAACTTACCGCTCCTCCTGGCTGACACCAGAGTGAACTGCGATACTGGGGAAGTTGCACTCGCGCAACAGCTTGTCCAGCTCGTTGGCACGTTGGGTGCTCTTGACGAAGATGATGACCTGGTTGAACTCGAGGTTGTCCAAAAGCTCATTCAGCTTGCGGTTCTTCTCCTTCTCGTCGAGCTTGATGTAGTACTGTTGCAAGCCGTGAAGGGTGAGCTTGGTATCATCATCGACATAGACCTCCAGCGGGTTGCGCATGAACTTCTTGCAGATGGGACGAATCTCCTGGGAGAGGGTGGCACTGAACATCATGACCTGCTTGTCGGCGGGAGTTGCACGGAAGATTTCCTGGACATCACGGCGCATGTCTGAGGGAGAGTGTTAGTGGGATGTAATAGTCGAGTCATATCTCGCATGCACGTACCAATCTGGTCAAGCATCTTGTCACACTCGTCGAGAACAAATGCCTTCACGTTGCGCAAGGACAATTTCTTGTCACGGACCAGCGCGTTCAGACGACCGGGAGTGGCAACCACAATGTTGGGGTGGGTTTCCTTGTTGGACAGGAGTTCGACGTCCTTCTGGATCGGGGTACCACCGTAGAAGACCGCAGTCTTCACGTCGGGCAAGTACTTCGAGAAACGGGCGTACTCGTTCTTGATCTGATAAGCGAGCTCACGGGTGTGGCACATGACCAGGATTTGACACTCGCCAGGAACGGGCTCCAATTGGTGAAGGGTGGTAAGAACGAAGACCGCGGTCTTACCGAGACCGGACTTGGCCTGGCAAAGAACATCGACGTTCAAAATGGAAGTCGGAATGCAAACTTGCTGGACTGTTGGAAGGCGAAGCCGATGTTAGATTGGGTTCGACGAAAGAAGAAGCAAAAAGAATATCCGTCTCGCAATGTCCGTCCATCCCCCGACAACATCAAATTGATGCGTGGGCGGTCATCTTCCACCGCTTGATCAAACCACCATGACGGTACGTCACATTCAAAAGCCATGCTTTTTGTGGATATCTTATCATATTCTGCAGACAACATGAGGTGCGCCTCACAAGGAGACAAACGTGATAAATATCAGTCTTCCACCGCGTGCGCCAATCTCCACGAAGTACGTGAGGGTTGGGGACGGAGGCTCAGGCTGAGCGCAAGAGCGCCACAGGACCAAACACATATATATTGTGAAGGGATATTGTCCTTTTCCAGGAGCAATAATCCTCATGTCGTCTGCAGATTCGAAACACGACTGATTGCCAAATACCGACAAAAGAATCTTCCCGAAAGGATGGACGGACGTTGGAGATTGGACAAATGGAGGAACGCTTGTGGGAATAATGAGTTAGACTAACCCTCCGATGGATGTTCGAAGCCGCAGTCGGTGATGGCGCGCAGAAGTTCACCCTTCAGCAGGAAGTCGCGGAAACCGGTGGAGTGGATACCGACGTAGCTGCCCTTCTTGTCGGGACGGCCACCGGTTACAGTCAAGTCGCCCTGCTTGTCGTCATCGCCATTGGTGGCGGCAGGCGCAGCAGTGGTGGCCGGTGCTGTGGTGGTCTGAAGCTCCTCATCAGAGTAGTCGATAAGATCCTCCTCGTGAGACATGGCGACGTAAATAGGCGAGTTTTGAGGGGAAGAGGTAAAAGTATTGCAAGAGAGAGATGAAGTGGGGTTGAAATGAAAAGAAGACAAAGGTAGTAAAGAGAAGAGTATGGACCGCGGGAATGTGGCAGGTCTCGATAGACAAAGGTGTAGGGAAGAAGTCACAAGGCGGTAGGACGAAGACCTCACCAAGGGAGCATCACGTGGTTGTTCCACTTCACCGCTTTCGGCCTAGCGTCAATGGGAAGCTTTTTCTCGAATTGCAGGCTGCAGCAAACAATTTTGAGATCCACTTGTTGATCTGTCGAATTTTCGAGAATGGCCAAAGCCAAAGGAAAGAAGGAAGCCAAGAATTCCAAGAACTCTCAGAGTCATATTCAAGCACGGCTGGATTATCTACACCAAGCCACTGCATATTTCGAGGACAAATCTACACTCGCCAAGGGTCAGAACGCCAAAGTTCACAACAATGAACACACCTCAGTTGCTGGTCATGTTGACTCAGGGGGTAATGGTCACACAGTAGATACCCAACAACAAGTCTGCCCTGTGAATCAAAAGAAGACTCAAAAGCCATTGAGAAACCTCTCAAGGGTATGTGTATCACATCTACGCGCCGTGGCAATGAAGACGCAGATTCGGCTGCCGGTCACACTAAAGAGATCAGTTTGCAAGCGCTGTGATACAATTCTGACGCCAGGAGTGACCTGCTCGCATGAAACCAGAAACGCAAGTCGCGGCGGCAAGAAGCCATGGGCCGATGTACTGGTCGTCCGGTGCCTCTCATGCGGGACTGAAAAACGATTCCCTCAGACGGAGAAACGTGGGAAAAAGCTCGTTGAGCGCCGCAAGGAGAAGGACTCGGTCTTGCTGCGCGACACGAATGCACAGAAAGTGGATACATCCGCGGCGTCGCAAGGAGAAGTAGTCGAATTACGTGAAGAGAATGTGCCAATGTTGGATGCTGCGGATGTCCCAGTGACGTGAATAGCACCCGCCAAATCCAGTCACTACGCGTGGGGTCACTTCCATATATTGAATCTTACACACTGCACACATAACCAGTGCGGTCACACCTTCCGGGTGCGCGTCAACAGGCCAGTGCGCTCATATCGATGACATGATCAAGGCGCTCTGGTGGAGCCCGTCGACCGCCCTTTTGGTCGGCTTTTACAATGAGATCTCAGCTACAATGACCAGGGGTGTTCATCAAATCAAGGCAATCATATCCACCCTCATCGCCGGAAGAAGTCTCAAATCCAGCGAGTAGCCTCAATATTGCTCTAGCGACCACACCAACGACCTGCTTGATATTCAAATCCAGACCTTGACATTTCAATGCTCATGTCAACCTTGGAGGACGCAATGCAATGCGACGTACGATTCAATCGGTTTGAAGAAACTGTTCCCAATTATATTGCAGAACACCATAAGCCAAGCTATAATCATGCCAGCGATGGAAATGGGCCAACATCAACGCAGAAAAAGAAAACCCAGAGCAATGTACACGCAACATGCAGAGAGGGGAATCGAAACAACAGGGGAAATAGCAGAAGCATCAAATCAAACAAGAAGACACAAAGACGAATCGTGTTTATGCGCTTGAAATCACATTACAAATCCTTCATGATAGTCATCAAATCTCATGGATTTTCAGTACCGGGTGGGAACCGAGTTGTCATGGCCATCGTCGGCGCAGGTCAAGCACCCTTGAAAATACTGCAGTCCCTTCGAGGTCGCATGCTCAACGCCGGTGTCTCGCCTCGATGGTGCCGCGAGGCATGCAGTTCTTTCAGCCAATTGTTTCATAAAGCAGATACCCAGAGTAATAAAATGTGCACATATATGAATACGGTGGTTTGCACGCATTCAAAAAAGAGTCCGTGAGGACACATTCGATATATAGTTTTTTGTTTCTTTTTGTTCTGTCGGCTTTGGTATGTTCTGGGTCGGGTACTTGTGTGGAGAAAATATAGGTGTGTATCGGTCGGACCATCCAGTGGTCGAATAAAAGTGAGATGTGCAGAACGCATGACCGTACACGGTCTTTCGGAGCGCTTCAAGGTAGGTGTGGGTTTAAAGGAAATATATGGAGGGAGTGTATATGGGAAGGCATCACCGTCGGCGCCGAGAACTCTGGTCAATGCGGTGATCTAGGTTCTCGATCCGGCCACGGAATGACTTGACAATATCACGGATATGAGCGATCTTCGCCAACTCATTGTCCAACTCGTCGATAGAGGCCAGGATTTCACGGGTGCGGGCAATTTCGGCATCGGCATTACGAATGACGTTTCCCGCGCGGTCGTAGGTGTTTTGGATGGAGCGCTGCATTTGATCCTCGAGCTAGCAAGAATGTCTTATGTTAAAACAACGAAACGTGATTTCCCGATAATATGGACCTGCGGTCAAGAACCGTGGGGGAAAACATACATATTCGATCCGGTGACTGATCTGAGCCTGCAACCCATCCAGCTGATGCGATAGTGCGCGGAGGCTCATAGGGTCCAGCAACAAACGGCCCTGGCTGCTGGCAGCGCTGGTTGCGCGCGAGCTGGAATTGCTGGTTCTTCCGGTGCCTCTGCCCCTGGCCACCCCATTGCCGGCATGGCCGCCCTGCAAGGCAATTTGCTGCTGCTGTCGAAGGATCTGGATCTCGGAGGAGGTGAGGCCAAGCGAAGTGTCGGGAATCGAGGCTGAGACGGACATTTGGTCCCGGCAGAGACATGCTCCGACCGCGACAGTCTACGAGGCGCCGATCAAACTCGATGTGAGACCAAACGGACCACAGGTCATGATGGAGGATGGAAGGTGTAGAGAGGAGAGTTTGCGATATACTGCAGTCAGATCGGGGAATGCGACTATTGACGGTTAAAGAGGATAGGGAAGCTTCTTTTTTTCCCTCATGAGGAGAAATCAAAAAGGAAAAAAAGAGGCGGAGAAAGAAGGTGTGAGCCGCTGGGAGTTTGGCGGCAACTAAACAGCGCGCGGCTCGAAGAAAGCCAGTTACACTCCCCGAGGAAGAGGCTAGTGAGATTTCTCTTTTATATGTTTTGGAGCACAGGCTCAGGCGGAAATATGATACCTCGGACCTCCCCATAAAGAGGGGCTCGAAGATGGAACGAAAATCAAGAAAAAGCAATATTTAGTACATTATGTATTTCTTGTTTTAGTGTTTTAGGGGTTTTCTTTTGTTTCATCCTTTAAGTACATCTTCGACGTTTTTTTATATCGGATATCGCGTATGTTAGGCTAAATGCTGGACTCTGCACCTATCTCAAAGAGGTGGAAGTATCAAGAGGCTCTGCAGTATGTCTAACAGAAATATAAGAGAATCAAGAGCAATAGTCAATAATATACTAATATACATATATATATGCAATGATAACATTAATTATAGTGATGCTCTGGGAAATATATAAATCAATATAAATGTACACTGTATGTATGTACATAGTTCCAATTCCGAACCATGGTAGCTCTCTCTCCACTTAGTTTCTCTACGGAGAACTGCAGCGACCAGGTGAGACTTAACTTTGATTGGGCTTAAAATACACCGCTTCTTTCTCCGCTTTGACTGTCTATATATGACTAGTTAGGTAGTTTTCTGCCAGACAAAAATATACAGGACTTGACCTTGGAACTCTTCCGTGGTCGCTGCGCCGCTCTGTACTTCACCAAATTCCAACTTCAACTTCAACTTCTTTACCCAGGCACTACTATCTCAACCTTAGCTGCCTATATTGTGAGGCTGAAACCGGCGACTTTACTTAACACACCGCTTATTCATAGACTTTCTCGCATTCGGCCTGTGAGCGTCACCCAATCCCGATCCCGGACACCTGCAGTTTCGACCTGACGGCCTGACGCGATCGATCCAGTCGAGGCGACCTAACGCACGGATTACCTGTTATTCTGCGAGACAGACAAACTGGCTATCCTCATTGCGCGCCTTCTTTTCTAGTCTGCGCGCTGCATCCTTGTTTCCAACCATACCCTTCACGTGCGACATCGCCACAGAGCCCAGACGTTTGTGCCGGTACCTAATCTGCGATCTCTGAAATTGATTGGACAAGAACCCGTGGCATTTATTACCGGCTTGCGCAGCTAGCTTCCGCCATACCGATAATTACAGACCACCCACACACCAATCCCAACACCAACACCAACACGGCGTCATGGCCAAAGACAAAGAGCGCTCGGTCAATCCTGCGGCAGTGCAGCGGAAACAGGATAAACAAAAAGAGCTGAAGAAAGGCAAAGCAGAGGCACTAGCGCGCCGAAACGAGAAACTTGCGCGCCGCAACCCAGATCGCATTCAGCGCCAGATCAACAGCTTCAAAGAAGCTGAGGAATCAGGACAAAAACTACGACCGCGAGATAAGGAGCTCCTCGAAGCGCTGGAGAAGGATTTGCGGGGCGTTCTGAAGGCGCGTGAAGCTCTTGGCGACAAGGCACCCCGGTTCGATCACGGCAGCAGAGGAGGCCACCAGGGTGATGGTGCTAGACGGGGCGGTGGCGACGGCGTGCTTGGGAAGCGAAGGCGAGGCTCAGACGAAACACGAATGCCTCGTGATAGTGACAGCAGCGATACGGATGAGGACGTGCGAAAGATACCCATGCCGCGGGATACACCGCCACCAATCCCGCGCCAGCACCAGCGCAGACAGGGTGGAAATGTGCCTTCAGAACAGATCGTTGAGCGCAGTGGTCCTCACCCGCTGCCATCTCGTCCAACGGCGGTCCCAGTGGCCAGGACTGTTTACGAAGCGAAGCCTCAGATTCGGGACCTGCGACAAGAGGCAACCAAGAAGTTTGTTCCGGCTGCGGTCAGGATGAAACAGCAGTCAATCAAGGGACAGGGGAAGTTGTTGGAGCCAGAAGAGATGGACAAGCTTGAGAAAGCTGGGTATAATGCCGGCCCTGCTCCGGAAGCACAGGCCGGCGATTCGCCACAGGAGGATTGGATGTTGACGTTAGAAGAAGAGGAGCGGCGTTTGAACCAGGAGAGTAAGTCTGTTCAGATAGAAGAGGTCGAAGATGAGGAGGCGTGGGCTTAATATCTGACCTTTTGAATAAAATGTTTCATTAAATTTGATGTATCATGCTGCATATTTCAATCAGATGTGCATACTTGTGTTCCATGTATCCAGTAGTCCGAAAGAGTGGTGGACTGTACCGGTTATGCATCTTAGGGCTAACACTGCAGATGACTCGACTCACACCTCTAGGAAGTCAGCATAAACTTCTACAACCCAAGTAAAATTCTGGAATGCACGAAATATGTTTGCCTATGAAAAGGGGTATATACAACCAACATTCAAGCATTGCAGCACCAGAACTCCGAACATGTAACCCTGAAACACCAAAATGCAATGGGCACATAAAACATGACCGAGAAAAATTATCCAAACGAGGAGTAGGGCGAAGTACTCCCAAGTGGGAGGCACATCAAATATTAGTGCAATATAACCACAAAGCAATATGTTTGCAAAGGACGAGGATACGAGTAATAAATTAGACGTTCAGAGAAAGAGAAAGCAAAATACAAAATTCAACAGTCAATGCATGGCTAATGCAAATAAATGTACAAGAGAACTTCAATCATCTCCTTCTTTGAAGGAAAGGGGCGTGACGGCATAAACAACAAAAGAAAAGTAGTAAAGAGTCGAGTCGGGGAGGCAAGTGTGTAGCCAACGAAGGCAAAGAGCCATGGGCGAGCCATGGGCATGTGTATCAAACTCCGTGTCTTGCATGTGGCAAGGATGCTCCGAAAACATTAGGGCCAACTCCATGACATAATGGGAAAGTATGCGCAAGAAGCGAAGTGCGAAACCCGAAAACGGTGGGCAACAAGGGGAACTGAGGGTTTCCAAAGAAACCAAATCATCGAAATCCAAATCCAGAAAAAAAAATACCTCCAATCCAAAACAAACTCCAATCACACCAAGGCGCCACAAGAAAACCGAAATCAAAACCAAACCGAAAGAAGAAAGTAAATGCAAAGGAAATTTGATCTGAGTGAAAGACTACCGCAGGTTGCGGATAACCTTCTTGCCACGGGCAAGGAAGGGACTGGGCATCTCATCCAGTTCAGGGTTCCAGATAGCAGGAGCATCACGTTCAGAGCATTTCACGCTCATGGTGGGACCGCCAGCGCGCGAGTCACTGGCACAACGCTTGACTTCATCCATCGGACGGCCTCCAGCTCTCGCCTGTGCGAGTTCGACCAGAGTGCGGCCACCCATGTTGCGTTGCATAACAGCCTTGAACATCTCTTCGCCGCCACCCCCATTCTTAGCAGGAGGTGGTTGCTGCTTCGAGGCACTCTTGCGAGTTGGTGAAGTGCCCGCATCGGCAGCAAGGTTGGCAGATGATGGGATCTTAGTTAGACGGCGGTGGGGAGATCTGGCTCTGCTCTCACTTGCACTGCGCTCTTCAGACTGGGAAGCAGATGCACTCGTCGATTGAGGAAGCCGAGTACCGCCGGAAGGGAACAGAGAAGGTTGGGTGCTAAGTTTCTGCATGAGAGCCGCGGTGTTCTGGCGAAGTAGAGGTCGTCGAGGCGCCTTCAATGGGTCGGGCTTCACCTTGGGTCGAGTTGGTGAGGGCAAGTCGGGGGTGTCGTCCTCGTCATCAGAGTAGGCCAGGGTGGGCTCCCACTTAGCCTTGTTCCGCTCGGCCTCTGCAAAAATGTTGCGAGCGCCTCCTTGGGCGGAAGTGCGGCGAGGGGATAGGGAAAGCGAAGCGATTGAAATAGGAGACGGCTCGGCCATTTGAACATCCACCGGTGAATCGACAACGGTCTTGGACCGACAAAATGGCGTTCTTGTCTCTTTCTTGGGCTGCTTTCGGGCATTTGATGGAGGAGAGCCAAGAGACAGCTGGCTGATGTCGGCGCTTGATGAGGGGGTATTATCGCTGTCGTCTGTCATGTTGGCAGAAGACCGAGAAGATCGCCAACCTTGATTGCTGGATCGAGAGGACCCAGAGCCGTGAGTACTCGTGCGAAATACATCATCTCGGGAGGTATTGCTATTGGAAGTGTTGTGCTTGTACTTCTTCACCTCAATGGCAACCCTTTCTTGCACTTCAGACTCAAATCGCTTGCGGAGACGGTCGAGTTCACTTTGCACCTGGCGATCAATTTCCAAGCGTGCTTTGACCTCCCACTCTCGTCGAACGGTGTTTTCAATTTCGGCCTTGATATGTTGCTTTTCGGATTCTCTCTTGGCAAGGTTCTGTTCCATTTCGCGGACTTTATGGACAGCAACCTCCTCACGTCGGCGCAGGGTCTTTCCGAGATCCACAACCTCTTTTTCCTTGCGCATTAAACGAATGATAGGAAGATGAATCAGAGCAGAAGTATCAGGGCGGTGATCGGGATTGACCCGCAGACAGCTTCCAATGACGTTCTTGAGCTCTGGTGAATAGTAATCAGGCAAGGGGGCGAACTTTCCCTCGCGAATTTTTTGAACTAGTTGGATGTGGGTGCGAGCATTGAAAGGGGGCTCTTTCTGGCAGAGCTCATACATGATGCAGCCAACCGCCCAAATGTCGGAGCGCAGTGTGTATTTTTCAGCCGCACAGATTTCTGGTGACATGTAGAAAGGCGTGCCAACATAAGTTGATGCGAAGTCGTGGGATTGCATTTGCTTGGACAAGCCGAAATCGCCCAGCTTGACTGTGTTGTCGCTACCGAGGAAGATGTTCTCCGGCTTCAGGTCGCGATGCAAGATAGTGACTTGCCCCTGTTTGCCCTTCAGACCAGATGGCTTGGGAGCCGGGCCCAGAATGTTTGATCCGACCTCGGCGGGATCGGATCCGTAGTGACACCGGAACAAAGCAGTGACAAGCTGGGAGAGAATGCGCCAGACAAACTCCTCTTCGGCGTATTTATTGGCCTTCTTCAAGTTCTTGATGACCATGCCTAGATCTCCGCCGCCACAGTATTCCATGTACAGGTACAGGTCCTGGCTGGCCTTCAGATGTTCTCGGTGGTAGTATGCGACGATGTTTGGGTGACGAAGGGAACTCAAAATGTTGAACTCGGCAGTGAGTTGTTCGCGTTCCTTTTGTGACATTTTGATGTAGTTGATTTCCTTGCGGCATAGAATCTATAGGAGCAGGTTGAGGTTAGTCCCGGTTGCAAGATGCCAACAATGCACTACACTTACGAATCCATCTGACTTCCGCTTGACTTTGCGAATGATCCCGAAGGAACCGCAACCTGAATGAATACATAAGATTAGTTTTGAACATATAGAATATAAATTGGGTCACAAAAAGGCAAAACATACCAATTTTGTCCAAAATCTCATACTTATCGGCCTCAGCCAAAGCAATCGCCATGGCTATAGATTGCTGTAGAGTTTAGGACAATAAGGTGAAGACGAAACAGAAGAATGAAAGTCAATGATGCATGAACGGTGTGAGACAAGATCCTGTGTTAGTAAAAAAAAGAGTCGAACTGCAGAATTGAAGATTTGAGGAAGAGTCAAGGCAATATGAATTGGAGCTTTGAAGATGGGTGTTTTGGGGGATCGTTGCTATGCAACGCTGGTTATGGCGCTTTCCCCAACCTAGCAGGCGGTGGAGGAGGTCGATCAAACGGTCCAAAGGAGGCAAAAACACGAATGACGTTTGTTCAATTACAATCATTATAGTTACATATGTATCGAGTGGGAAGTAGTATGTACACTTGAATATATATATATCCATACTTCAACCATCCCAATACCTTGACATCACTGTATTCACTCTCCTAAATATCTATACAATATAGAAGATCCCCTTAATTTCAGACTTTACAGGTATATTGTCACGTGCTTCTTATCGATAAGGCTGTTTCCGCCCCGCCGTTGCCGTTTGCCCTCATCCCACTTCGACTTGTTGTGCCTGGCAACCTGCATGATGGATGAGCCAACTGTGCTGCGGAAGGACCAGCTGGCGATCAGCTTAGCCAATGAGAAGAACTTGATTAAGGAGGGCACCATTAAGGATGATAATCCTTTAGATCTCAGTGAGCCATTCCGTGAACTATGCAGCGCATGTCGTCGGGGCGATCTGAAAGTCTGTCAGGAGAAAATCACCGAGGGCGTCAATGTTAATGCTCGTGATCCCTATGATTACACGCCATTGATCCTGGTGAGTGCAATATATTGATAAACCTACCGTGCCAATCCCGCGTACCACATAATAACCAATGAACCTGGTAGGCGAGTCTTTGTGGCCATTATGAAGCTGTGCAACTTCTTCTCGAGTCTGGTGCACTTTGCGAGCGAGACACGTTTCAGGGCGAAAGGTAAATAGCAATTGGTTCTCTATAGAGTGGCTAGAATTAACAATGGTGGTTCTATAGATGTCTCTATAATGCCCTAAACGACCGGATACGAAACCTCCTTCTGGAATATGATTATTCCAAGTCCACGGACCCCCTCCAGCCCCTAGCCGCGCATATAACTTCGATTCTCACCCGTGAGTCTCCATTAACAGCAGATATTGTTGTGACTGCATCCAACGAATCGCTTCACCTCCACAAATTCATCCTCGCGGCACGTTCTCCATATTTCTATGGTAAACTAGCCGTGGCACCGGAATCTGCATCATGGAATCTCCCCAGCACCATTCCTCCGGAGGCATTCGGTGCCGCTATCAAATACCTGTACTTTGGAGAAGCCCCTAGGGACTTGAGAAATACACCAGGGTCAGGCTTCACGGAGTCCGAGACTTTTGCAGGGGTGGATAGAATCTCCAAGTACTTGGAGATCCCTAGTCTTCTAGACAGCATCCTTGATAGCGGAGACAGGAGACGTGCTAGACAAAGAAGAACCGACGATATTTCCAAGGGCCGAGATCAAATGGAACAATGGTTCCAGGAGAATATTCTGGGGAACAAGCTCGAGGTGGAGACTTCGAAAGTGAACGAAGTGAAGTGGGATCGAAGCAATGCAATCTTTGCTGATGTTCTTCTGAGGGCGGATGAACTTCCCGAAGAAGAGGAGGAAGCGGACATTGACACACCAGTCGTCAGCAATGGCACATCCAGTTCGATTCCCATTGGTCCTAACTCTACCGCGAATGAGAAGACTCTCGAGGCGCCGAAATCAATCATCTTCCCATGCCATCGAGCAATGCTCTTGCGGTCTGAGTTTTTCCAGGCAATGTTCACATCCACTTTTCGCGAAGCTTACCTCAATGAAAACCTGACGATCATCGATGTCAACTGTTCGCCCGAGGTCTTGGAAATTATTCTTACATTCTTATACACCGAAAGAGCCGATTTCCCCTTAGAAATCGCTGTCGATGTCCTATTCGCGGCAGATATGCTCTTCATTGAGAAGCTGAAGACGAAAGCTGCTGTGGTCATCAGCACCCTCGGCAGTGCTGGAATGTCCCAGGCTGAGGCTGCGAAAACTCGAGGAACGGCGGACGAAGATGACATTGACATTTACTCAATCGTTCGAGCTGCGTGGTTGACGCGCGTTCAACGATTGGAAGAATTCGCTGCTCGATATCTCGCATATCGACTGGAAGCACATATAGATAGCCCAGAATTTGCGGAGTTGATCCAGGAATCAGCATCTCGTATCAAGGCGAGACAGGAAACTGATACCATTGAAATGCTGGATGACATCCGGTTCTATCTTGGAGAGCGGTTTAGATTGAGATTCGATGAGGCTGGTCTGGATGAGATGATGGAAGAAAAAGAATTACTGGAAGATCTAGATGAAGACGAGCAGCTGGATGACGTTATAAATCTTACAGAAGGTGTCCGGACTCTGGATGTTTCCAAGGAGGCTATCCCCAGTCAAGGCCAGCAGCCGCAAGTGCATGCCCCGGTGATTCGAACTCTGGACGGCGCGGTCGTCGAGGATGAATTCTCGGAAGATGCGATGAACTATGAGATCTTGCTCGAGAAGCTTGATAATTTGCTGGAGCGGCTCAATCTCGAGGCTTAGGCATTTGAGATTTCACCACTGGCTTCCAAATGAGTCGACCAACAGCGTCCTCTGCTTTCATCAGGCTGTTCAAGTGGCTTCTGGGCTGATTGATTTATCCGGGGACCCTGGATTGGAGACCAAGGCTACAGTCCCTGGGAGATAAATGGTGCGCCTGTGATGAACTTCAATATATATTCAACCCTCTGCCCTCTGGTGGAACTTTATGGTGACACTCATTATATACTCCGGGCAGGAGGGAAAAACAGATATTTTTTGTCTATAAACAAAAGAAGTAGTATCTGATTTGAATAGCACCTCAAGTTATGTACACGAAAACACTGATACATATTGCCCAGTGACAAGCAGTCAAATTCATTAATAGAAGCAAGTCCAATGTTTCCAGACTTCGCAGGCCATGGTTGGATTGCGTGGATGCGGGACTCGAAGATCACCTTCAAGTGCAACTGGTCTGGTAGCAAGTTTGTTGCACGGCTAATGGGTGTTAAAACCGTGTTGGAACTAGTCGATAGCCGCCACCTTGTATTTGAACCGAAGGTGGTGCGCGGTCCTTCGGAGTATCAAAGCGCGCGGTTGCATCGTGGGTTGGGTTCGCATTGAACGGTAGTTGTGAATCCGTTACCTCCGTTAGGCAAATATTTCGTAGCGCTCATCGACCTCCATTCGGTTGATCTTGATCATTACCACCGACGCCTTTCTGCTGCTTCTCTAGCATCCTCGCATCCAAGTCTCGTATCTGGTTCTCGATTATGCCTCTTCGAGCGATCAAGTTGGAGCGCATACCCTGGAGGGCTTTGGTTTGCTCATTAAAAGTCGATTCTTGCCGCTGCTTTGCTGTCTACATTGCATAAAGTGTTAAACGTGAAATGAGATTCAATGGCATGATTGCAGATAAACGGATAATTTCGGTCTAGATGGATTCGGTCATACCTCAGCAATTTCTTGATTTGTCTTAAGACCAGCTCCATAAAGAGTACCTGTGATAGTGATAGAGACGACCGCAGTAGTTAAGATCAACCGCTTGATATTCGGAGGAGGCATGGTGAGTGCTATAGAAAGTCGAAGCTGTTTGATCGCAACTAATTGGCCATTTCGAGGCTCTCACCGCCTACCCAAACTAGACTTTCTATTGATCGCGAACGCGTTCCCCTCGCGTCACTTGAACAAAGAAAGGCCGGACAAAGCGAATTTCACAGACAGCCCATGAGGCTCCCTCTACATCTACTCGAGGGTTCCGACCAGTATGGCGCCACCCGGTATTCCTCGTCGTCGACCTCACAGCGAGGATGAAGAAGGAGAAGGCCTTCCGTTTACTCCCCCAGCCCAACCCTCGAACCACAAACGCCCCCGCTTGAACCCCGCTGAAAGCGATGACGGATCGGAGCCTGGAGACGAGAGCGAAGGCGGAGGCGAAGAAGAGAGCGATAGGGATAGCGCTGGATCTGAAACACCAGAGGCAGTTTCTCAGGCCCCGCGTGCGATAGCCCACGATGGCCTTGGCCCCGGTGGCTATAAGCCAGGCGCAATCGTGCGGATCAAGGTGACAAACTTCGTGACCTACACGTCAGCAGTGTTCTATCCTGGACCAAAGCTTAACATGGTCATTGGTCCAAATGGAACGGGCAAAAGCACCCTGGTCTGTGCCATCTGCTTAGGCCTGGGATGGGGACCTCAGGTATGACTCGGACTACAATACTGCACTGCCTCCCCATACTGACACTCACATGATCTCTAGCATCTTGGACGCGCCAAAGACCTGGGCGAGTTTGTGAAGCATGGGGCCCGAGAGGCTATGATTGAGATTGAACTATGCGGACCGCCCAAGAGGGGTAACAATCCTGTCATCCAACGAACCATCAAGCGCGATGGCAATAAGAGCTCATTTACACTCGACGGAGCCCCCGCTTCTAAGAACGATGTGTTGAAACTGGCCCAGTCGTTCGCCATCCAGGTAGACAATCTCTGCCAGTTCCTTCCTCAGGATAAAGTCGCTGAGTTTGCTGCACTTACACCGATTGAACTTCTTCATTCCACGCAAAGAGCAGCAGCTGGCCCGGAAATGACCCAGTGGCATGATGCCTTGAAAACACTAAGAGACGAGCAGAAGAAACTTGAGGTAAACAACAAAGACGACAAGGAATTGTTAGAAAATTTGGAGAATCGCCAAGAGATGCAAAGAGCCGATGTCGAAAGAATGCGCCAGAGAGCCGTGATCAAGCGAAAAATCGAAATCCTTGAGCGTTGCCGTCCAATTGTGGAGTACAAGGAACACCACAATGCTGTTGAGGCCCTGAAGGTTACCAAAGCTCAAGTTGAGCGTGAATACCATCGAATCCAAGCAGAAAACGAGCCTATTTTGCGTGCAGTCAACGCCAAAGAAGCCTATATCGCGCAATTGAACGGCGTAAAAGATGTCCGAAAGGATTCTGTTGACGAAGCATCCAGGGCCACCACTGAACGCGGCCAAAAAATTGAAGAATTTGAAAGTAGGATCAAGGATCTGAACGATCGGATTGAGGCCGAAAAGAAGAGTGGTCAAAGGCACAAGTCCGAAGGAGCATCGGCTCAGCAAGCTATCAACAGACTTCGACGCCAACAAGAAGAGGAGGCCGTGGAGTTTGACCCAGAATTTTACAACGAGACCTTGGTAAGAAACCCTATGTTCTCCATCATTTGAACCAAGCATACTCATCACATCACAATATCAGAGAGTGAAACGGCACGAAAAACGCGACCTTGAGATAAAGGCCAGAGAAATCCAAGACAAGAGGCAGCCCCTTCAGGAGCAGCAACAGCAAGTGCAAAGGAATATCCAGCAGGCCGAACACCAGCTGAGCAGCTTAGACTCAGCCTCGGGCCAACAAGAACTCAAGTTGCAGAAAGCATCTTACGATACGCTGAAAGCCTATAGATGGCTTCTTGAGAACCAAAGCAAGTTTGAAAAGGAAGTCTTCGGCCCTCCAATCGTTACATGCTCAATCACCGACCCCAAATTTGCCGATGCTGTCGAGTCTTTATTCCAGAAGACAGACTTCACATCGTTCACCGTGCAGACCAGGAATGATTTCCGCACCTTGCAACTTGCGATTAACCAAACCTTGGGACTCCATGATATTAGCATCCGCACCTGCTCGCTGTCATTGGATACTATGAGGGCTCCAATGTCTAATGATCAACTTGCCCAATTAGGATTTGATGGTTGGGCAAGGGATTTTCTGGTCGGGCCCGATCCCGTCATTGCCATGCTGTGCAGTGAGAAGAACCTGCACTCGACTCCTATCGGACTGCATGAAATCTCAAATGAAGTGTTTACCCGTTTGGAGGAGGGTTTGATGAGCTCCTGGGTATCTGGGAAAAGAAGCTATCAAGTGACTCGGCGTAGAGAGTATGGACCCGGTGCCACATCAACCCGGGTTCGAGAGATCAAGCCTGCTCAGGTGTGGACCCAACAGCCTGTTGATGTTTCCCTTAAACGTGAACACCAAGAGAACATAACGTTATGGAATGAACAGCTGCAGGACATCAAGGAGAAGCTTGAGTCTGAGAGGGCTGCCGTGCTAAAGATACGCGAAGAACACGAGCAGGTCGAGCGAGAAATGGTATTTTGCACAGTTCTCTTCCTTTCGTCACACCTCATACTAACTTGTACTGCAGAAAGAGATTGAGAAAGAAAAGAGCGCAAAACAGACAGCTCACACTCAGTACCGAGCAATCCCTGAGAAGATCTGTATGTTCTATTTCTTGTTCTTCTGCCATCTGGCACTTGTCTAACAACTTGCAGCTCAACAAGAGGCCAAACTCCAAAACATATCATCGATGTTTGATGGGGTACGGGAGAGAGTTCGTGAAATTCGCAATCAGCAAGACGAATTTGCAATTCAAAAGGCTGAGGCCGCTGTCGAATATGCCGTAAGTTCATCACTGACATGTCTGTCTACTTTTATCTGACGCAATGCAGGATGCTGTCGAACTGTTCCGCCAAGCTCACGAGGAGCTCATGAAAGTCGAGGTCCTATTCTTGGAGGCAACTTCCGATCTTCAGACCCTGCGGCACCGCAACATTGATAGTACGAAGTTACTAGAAGCAAAGAGACGAGAGGCGCAGGAAGCTACAGTTAAATTGAGGGAATCCAAAGTGAAAGCCAGAGCAGTTTTGCAAAAAGCTCAGCGAATCAGCCGAGAACTACACGACCAACCCGACGCGCAAGCTCTACTTGAAGAACTCAACGATCATGACATGGATAAGCTCGATGCCGACATTGACTCTGAAAAGGCCCGACTGGAACTCACCCATGGTGGTAGTAGCCACATGATCAAGGAGTTCGAAGACCGTGAAAAGTCCATTGAGAAGTTGCGCTCCAAACTCGCCGATTTCCTAAACAAGCTTACGGAACTTGGCAACGCCATCACGGACATCCGCAAGGACTGGGAGCCCAAGTTGGAAGCGCTCATCGAGAAGATCAGCGATGCCTTCTCGGATTCTTTCCGCCGCATCGGATGTGCTGGCCAGGTCACCTTGGGCAAAGCAGAAGCTGAAGCTGGACCCAATGGCGAGCCTGGTGCTAGCGAATTTAGGGATTGGTCGATCGTGATTCACGTCCAGTTCCGCGAGGGCGCGGGGCTGTCGGTCTTGGATTCACATCGCCAGTCTGGTGGTGAGCGAGCCGTGAGTACCATCTTCTATCTCATGGCGCTCCAGTCGCTCTCGGCCTCACCCTTCCGCGTTGTGGATGAGATCAATCAAGGTATGGATCCGCGAAACGAGCGCATGGTTCACGGACGCCTGGTAGACATTGCCTGTGCCTCGGGCGAGACCGAGGAAACCGACGAGAATGGCAACCCCATCGGCGGCGGTGGAGGCGGCCAGTACTTCCTCATTACACCGAAGCTGCTTGAACAACTGTCTTACAAGCCGGGTATGCGGGTGCTTTGCATCTACAGTGGAGAGCATATGCCCGAAGATTATGACAAGACCAACTTCAAGAAGGCAATTACGAGCATGAGGGCGGTGGCCGCCAGCGCGATCACCAGTGGCCCATCTGAAACCATGCAGAGTAGTAGTCAAGTGGACGTCTATGCTTAACGAAGTTCTCGCGGGTTAGTTCTCGGTTTGCGATACCCAATTTACCAATTTATTAGTTTACCCCATTTCCCCCATTTAGCCAATCCTCCGGTCGAACCCCGGGAAGGCTCTACTTTGTAAGTAGATTTCTGATTTCAGAGTAAAAGGAGGATATGTATGTAGTCATAAGCAATAGACTTTGTTTTACTCTGTATATGAACGTATTGTATATTCCTGACTCGAATAAACATCAGAAGATATGAAGATCAGGCTAAAAGATGGGAACACAGACGTGGGTCAAGCACTCGCACAGACACGGAGTGGCCGATCATGCATATGGGGCCAAAAGGGAGCCGCAGTGAATTTGCCAAGGTCAAAGGGGTCAAAGTGGTCAAAAAGAGGTCAAAGACAACCGTTTACGCTTTTCTCTTGGCTTTTAGCGTTCTCTTTCTTGGCCCCGGGGCTGCCTAGAAAGTTCGATGAAAAGGATTCTCATCCATGCTCGGATCGGACGATTCGACCGAAAAAGAAATAGATC